GGTCGTGAGCGCCTTGCTTTTCTGCTATCCAAGTTGGGCATTCGAGATCTTCATGCACCAACTTGAGGGGGAGTATTGGAGAGTATCACGGAGTAGAATGAGGAAATCAGAAAATCAATCTCTGCACTATCACTGCAGAGTTATTTACAGAATGTATATATTTTTTCCTTGTACAGTGCGTCTTTCTAGGCTTCATTATTGGTACCAGTTTGTATATATGATTAGCATCCATAGTAATGAAATGAAAGGCAATTAGCACAATTCGCTGCTCCATACTCTGTTTTCTCATCTTCCTAATATTGGATTTTGGAGCAAAATTGTTCATCTCTTATAAATTGTGTATTTAAAATTTATGAAAATTTTTTTAATTTTAATAAAAAATATAATATTAAATTAATATTTATTTACAACGAAGTTGAGTCTGAAAACTCGATCTACGAATTGAAATGCGTTTCACTTGTTACTCACTTTGGATAAGCCACGTTGGGAATGCACTTTCCTTCAAATAATGAGGAAAGCAGGAAAAGTGGGTAAGAAATGAATGCGGGAGGTGCAATAGCAGTTGTCTTGCCGGCAAGTTTACGAGGTTTTAAAAAAGGCCGTTAGGGAGTGGGCGGTGGGAGGGGGGGACGTGGCCTCTTCCTTTCCACTCGTACCTAAACTCGCTATTCCACGCCTTCTTTCTTTTTTTGGTCAGATTTTTCACCTTTATTTACGTAGAAAACCTTAAACACGTGCTTGTGTTAAACGTGGGCAGTTTCGCTTTCGTACTGTTGGTTCGCTGGCTGCCTGGCCCTTGCCACGCTCGTCCTTAGCATTCACTCCAAACAGTATTTTTGTTTTATGTGAGCGAAATAATATTTCTACATTTTATATATTTTTATCCTATCACTCAATTTATCGCAATTATATGGGTTTGAATTTTTTTTTAAAAAAAGGTATTTTTGGCAGAAATAATAAATAAATAATTTTTATTTTTTTAGGTTAAATATTTAATTTGATTTCTGAACTATATAATAGATTTTTGATTTGGTTTTTGAATTAAAAATATATTTAATTTAATTCTTAAGTTATTGTATGAATTTCGATTTGGTTCCTATTGTTTATCAATTTATTTTAAATTGATCTTTTCATACAAAAATCAATTAACATATTTTGTTATTAACATAATATGTAACCGTTAAATTATTATTTTTCATCATTAAATTGCAGACACATCATTTGTTTTTTTATATAAAATGATCAACTTAAGTCAAATTGATAAATAATAAAATCAAATTGAAAGTTTCTATAATAATTCAAAGATCAAATCATGAATTTTTTTAATTTAGAAATCAAATCATAAATTTTTTAATTTAAAAATTAAATTAAAGACTCATATAATAATTCAAATATCAAATTAAAAAATAAAACAATTAAAGTTGAATGGAGACAATACTTATGTTACAAGGGATTATCTAATATATATGTACTCTTATCCTCATTAATTATAGTATTTATAATTAATTTTGTATAATTTTTCATGTCAAATTCATATATTTTTATAGATTT